AACTCTCTCTCTATCTATCTGTCCATGTGTCTACCTGTCTATCTATCTGTCTATGTATCTTTCTATCTTTTTATCTATCTATCTATCTACCTATCTATCTATCTATCTGTCTATCTATCTGTTTATCTATCTATCTACCTATCTACCTATCTACCTGATCTATCAATCAATCAACCAATCTATCTACCTATCTACCTATCTACCTATCTACCTATCTATCTGTCTATCTATCTTTCTAATCTAATCTAATCGAAATCAAAATCAAAATCAAAATGTAATCTATTCTAATCTAATCTAATCTCATCTCATCTCATCTCATCTAATCTCTCTCTCTCTCTCATCTGCCTATCTAACTGTGTATCTATCTATCTACCTATCTAGCTGATCTATCAATCAATCAACCAATCTATCTATCTATCTATCCATCTATCTATCTATCCATCTATCTATCTATCTATCTCTCTCTCTCTCTCTGTCTGTCTGTCTGTCTGTCTATCTATCTGCAAATTTGAAAACTAAGCAATTCTGCGAGACTTCTTCATTTTTTTGCACTTGACAACATTGTACCCATCCACTTTGTAGCATTTTTTCTTGTTGGTTTGTTTTGGGAGGGTTTGCGGCGGTTTGATTTTGCTTTATTTTCTTAAGAGCAAGTGCATCATAATCTGACACAGTTTTTTTATCCGTGAAAAGTGTTGTTTGTTGCTGCTGTTTTTTCGTTTCTACTGGGGTTGTTGGAGTTGTTGCCTGGAAGGGATTGAGACCAAAAGGTGTTCCACATTTCAAAAATGCGCTGTGATATTGCACGGAGATTGACCCATGTACATTCTTGCAAGGAAGGATGCATCATATCATGGTTACAATCTGCGCTGCCACTTCTTGTTTTTGTTAATGGCAACTTTTTAGGGGCTAGACAATTGTAGGGGCAGGATTCCTTCGACCAAGAGCGAATCAGCAAACCAGTGCTACAAATTGCCATGGAGGATGTGGCTGATGATGTTGGATGTTGAATATTGGGGATGGAAAATTGTTACAAACTACCCAAGGTCCTTATGATGATTTTTTTTTGCGAAAATTTAGCCAACTTGTAGTAGAACTACTTTTTTGATGAATTAGCAGCTTGTAGTAAAAAAAACTCAGGCCTCAAAACTTGTAGTGCATGCATTTTGGTGTCTACAAATTGGGGACCGATCCCGTCACTCGTTGAATTCCAACGGGGATCCATTTTTTACTCGTCGATTCCGCGAGGAAATGTGGCTCAAAGGAAGCTGCTGAAATGTACCATCGTGGAATCAGGATGAAAACAAACATGGGCATCAAGATCTCGAAACATTTTGATATGGTCATTTTCTTGATAGATGTGATGAGTGTAAATGTACAGGTCGACTCAGGTGTTTTCTAAACACGTGAGTTGCGAACATCATGAAAGCAAGGATCACATGTAGGGAACCAAATCGTGAATGATGGTTTACGCAAACAGTCCAAACAAGTGGATGCTTAGACTCACGACCATTGGATTGCACCAACATTTTGCACGCCACAGCAAGTGCCAACCCTTGCAAACTGGAAAATCCATCCAATAGTTTTCGTCTCTAGGCGCGAAAATTGATTCGTTCCAATTTTTCGAAGTAGTAAAGGATTGAAGGATGTAATCCATTCCCTCTATTCAAGGCCAAACGAAACCATGGTTGTAGAGAATTTCCACATATTTGGGACCATGACCGTGGCACGCCAAGCAGCAACTTGCCGGTGGTGAAAACCTCCAAGGGGTCCGTGCTGTGGATCAACTGAAAATGAACCATTTTTTCATGGGAATATTATGGAGTTGATCATAATTTTGTCATGGGAATATCATGAAAATGAACAATTTTTTTCCACTGAAAATGAACTCCGAAAAATGATCAACAATGGGTGTGTAATGGACGTTTCATATGGTTTTATCTGGTTTCATCGACAGTGTTTTTTATGCACAACAATCATGAATGGATTTATCCTCCGGTGCCATGAAAAACATGGCTGGCAAATCCCCGAGTCGAGCAAATGGGTATCGAAAAAAGGGACAGTCATCGAACTATAGCTGGGTGATTTACCATTGAACTCATTACCATTTAGGGTGCCCTAAATGGTAATTTAATGTAGCTATGGAACATCACCATTTTGAATAGGTAAATATTTGTGGTTTGGAACATGAATTTCATTTTTCCATTTATTGGGAATGTCATCATCCCAACTGACGAACTCATTTTTCAGAGGGGCAGGCTCAACCACCAACCAGGTAAATATTGGTAAAATATTGATACCCTCTGGTAAACTAACATAGCGAACTGGAAAATCACCATTTTTAATTGGTAAATCAACTATAAATGGGCAACTTTCCATAACTATGTCAGTTTACCGGAGGGTAAATGAATCACTTTTCATAGCTATGTGAGATACCCAGAGGGTAACAACATATTTGAACTCTGATGCATTTGGATGGTCCATCTAAGTGAAGTGGTTGTGTTTAGGCCGTCTAGGCCAAGATCTTCATCATTCTTCAAACCAAGAGAAGGTCAGGACGACTTGGGGGGTCAGAAACATGTGAAAACCTAGTCTAGGTCATCCTTGGATGGGTGGAAACTAATCCTTTGTCCGTTTTTTTGGGTTTCAATAGGAACATCTACGTTCACCAGCTAACAATTTGTCTTTCCCTCGCAGGTTTTTTTTTCAGATTGGCCATGTAGTTCCATCATAATTTATGTTTACCCAAATTATGTTCAATCTATGTTTGGATAGAGAACTCGAGAGTAGATCTAACACAACTAACACATTGTTTTCAGAGGCATACCAAAAATGTCCTGATCGCCGTTTTTTTGCTGAACATCTTTGTAAACAGTTCCAACAGTGTTCTCGATTCTATTTAACAAAGACCAGTTTTGTCATTGGGTTGATGACATATTGACATATCACATATCCCAGAATTGGATGAACGTTTGACAAACAAATCTCATTCCTGCAGGATGGGGCCCCAGTTCGTTAGCCAAGTTGGTGCAAATAACTATAATAAAAATAGTGTATGATACGCAAATAACTATATTTAGATGGGTTTATAAACCAACAAACATCACTGGGTTTCCCCATCTTGTGGTCACATCGATGTTTCATCGTTGAAAATTGCACCCACAATGTTTCCTGAGATCGTTGCCGCTTTACTAACCAAAAATAACCAGCATTGAACATGGGGATAATCATGGTAACTACCAGAAGAATGAGGAACGTGATTTAAGCAATAAACAAATCGATACTTGATAATAGATAAACTATAAGGATATGACCAGGAAACTTGGATGATTGCAATCACTAAAAGGGAGTTCGCTGGGTTGAATTGAGAAAACAATTACATGGTGGCTCTGTGGAATAGTGTTTTCCACTGGTGCCAGCTGTTTTTCTTGGATGCGGCTGCAGGTAGCCGAATGGTGACATGTTCGGAGGAAAAAAGGAAGAGAAGAAGGACTTCCTATGAATTCCTGGGATTTGGGGGTTACTTCACTCCTTTTCTTGTCTCATCCCATTCTCCTCATCCCATGGCAGATCAAATGCTTGGTTGATTGGTAGTCCCCAAATACGGGATCATGTACGAGAATCCCATGAAACTCGGTAGAATGATGCATGGAATACAAGGAATACCACGAGTTACCACGCAAGGGTGTGGTTTTTGAAAAACGGATTCATTTGGGTTGGTCTAAAACTTTTGCAATTTTGCAGCTGGAGGATCAATGAATCAAACCCTCGTTGCGCTGTCACATCCCTAAAATTGCCCAGTTTGTGTTGGGATCTGAAGGAGGGTGTGGGAATGGGTGATTTTTTTTCCGCATTCAGGGGTGTTAGTCTCATTGTTACAAGTTGAGGCCCCCCAACTAATAACTTGGTCAACCAGGGTCTTTTTTGGGGGTATAACCATAGTATTCATGCGGTGAAACATTTCACCAAGGTTCACATCATTGGGGAACCTCACCTTGCAGTATTATATAGCCATCTAATGATTGGGGTACTGATTTCGACCAATATCCATATGATTTGCGATTTTCCTCCCCTTGATGAATCTTCCATTCAGAGAATGTCATCGCACATCCCTTAGTTTGGACACAAACGGCAGTGCCACCAGGAGGAGGAGGACGATAAGGCAGATGAGGCGGGGCTGTGGCTTGTTTTTTTTTGGTAGCAACCCTATGCCGCCTATGCCCCAAAGAAGGTCTGGGTCATTGGAAGTATCTAATAAGCATCTCCCAAAAATTGGGCATTTGAGGTATTCTGAAGGTAGGCATCCAGGTGGAGTTTATCCAATTCGAATGGGGGGTAGGTAGTGTTGATCCATTCCCAACAAAGGCCTGCAGCTGCGGTTGTCCAATTAAAATGTGGTCAACAAAATGCTATGTTTTACTATAAACCATTTTGGGTATCGAACGCATCCTCCACAATAGGGCTTGTTCTTGGGTTTACCACATTTTTTTTTTGTTTGGGTCAAAACCTTTGATGAGAAAAGCTGGAAACAATAGCTCGCTACAGCTTGATATTAAACCAGAGATTGGGCTTTGGATCCATAGCTAAATGGGTCAGCAACCACCAAACCTGGTCAAGTCCTATCTGGGAATATCACCTGGCGAAGTCCTCACCTTTTGATTCTGAGATCACCAGAGGGTTTTTGCAGTCGGATGAAGGTCCAAGAGGAGTACTGCTCCATGGGTTGAATGGACCATCAGCCATAGTGCTGAAGATGTGAAACCATATCCATTGGCTGATGTCACATGGTCGATATTCCAGTGGTTGTTCCATTGATTAGTTGCGCCCTGTTTCAGGGGCAGCTCAGCTGTTGAAATGGCTGGCGGAGTCATCCTGGAGCAGAAAGAATATGTATCCCGTAACCCTCAACCTCATTTTATTTAGGCTATCTATAGCTTTTCTTTGGGCATGGCCAAACTTGACTTGGCCACCGGCTGGCACTGGCCACTCACTGGCGATCCAGGAGAAACCCGAAGAGAATGCTGAAGGTGGCGACGACGCTGGGGGAGGAGCGCGGCTTCCCATGGTGGGCAAAAGGGGGATCAATAGGGAAATCCTATACGGTTCATATATGTGCCATGGTGCAAAAATCATGAAACATCGATTGTGTACCGATATTCGGGGAATGGCCATCAATCCATTAATAGGGATTCTATTATACACCATCAGAATTCCCATTGTGGGATGGATGACCATATCCGATCTACTTCTGACGGCGTATGTGGGGAAAGATGGCAAAATTCTCCCAAATTATGTCCTAATCCGTTTCTTTAAGGCTATGGAAAGGCTATGGAGCAATACTTATCATATTTTCAGGGGGTGAACATCCGTAAATCCAGGCCTTTTAAAACTAGCGAGAATCTACCATCTGGTTATGACTAACATAGCCATGAAAAAATCCCAAAAATAAATGGAGGTTTATAGCTGGGAAAATCATCTATTTCTATGGGCCATCCATACCATGGCGAACTGTGAGTCATAACCAGAGGGTAAAATCCATTAATATACCATTAATATACCATTAATACACCATTAATATCCCATTGATATACCATTAATTACCAGAGGCTATTTGTTTGGTTGCTCTACACAGCGATTTTCAGTGATACCCACCGAGGCATCTCAGGAATTTCACATCGTTTCTCTGCAGGAGATGAGGAGGGCGAGGATGAAGTCCTTCAGGTTGCGAAGACGCGAAAGATCAGCAAGGAGCAGTTCTTCAAGGACGGCCAGGGATTTCCATCGTTTTTTTTTTGGTGATTTTTCTTGGGATTTCAGAAAGATCATGGGATATCACTGATATAAGGGACTTAAGTGACTTAAGTGACTTAAGTATCAGAAGTGGTTCCAAAGTGCTGAGTTGTGCAGGTGATGGGTTAAATGATGATGGGATCAATTGGAATAGATCGGATACAGTAGGTCGATTGGATATGATTAGAGTAGATTTTCCCATTGCCGGATTAGGTAGCAGAGAGTATGTTGTTCACATAGGTACCCTCTGGTGACTTAACATAGCCATGGTATTGATGGCCCATTTATATATAGATGGTTTACCTATTAAAAATGGTGATTTTCCTGGCTATGTTAAATAACCAGATGGTATATGGTTTATCCCATTAACATCCCATTAGTTACAGTGTTTCATAGTTACCAATATTTACCAATTAGAAAACACAGGATGGGGCCCCCGTTGGATAGCGTTCAGTTGCCTTATAAGTGGCTGATTCCTATGGTTTATGACTATAGTATTCATGTTTTTTTTTTTTAAACTTTATAAACCATAGTTATAAAACATAGTTAAGATCCATGAATACTATAGTTATATATCTACCTAGTATTCGTGGGGGTTTCATGGTTTATAAACCAACATGCACATCACTGGGCTGTGGATGTCATATCTCCCAAACACCGGAGCCAGGAAGTTTCGGATCGCACCAACCCTCCCTCAAGGGGTGATACGGAGCAGGAGCGGCCGTGAATCACCACGGAACTGGGTGATAAACAGCATGAATTACCCAAGTTTGATGTGGATTTGGGATGGTTTAGTGAGCTAAGTTGGTAGATAAGTATGTATATATATATATGGGTATATATACAGATGCTGGTGCCCCCATACCCTTCGGTAATTTACAATTCGCAAACTGGTATAGATGGCCGAGGCCCATTTAGTTCGATGTAGCTACAAAAGGTTGTGATCTTCAATAGCTAAAAATATGTTCAAATGTAGTAAGTGTAGTTAGCGAAGTTCGTAGCAGATAACATAAGTTATGTTTTTTTTCATGGTAGATACTGGGGATTTTTCACATTGTGGGTTTCTCTAATCATCGCGAAACTCGCTTTTTGATCATCAAATAGCGGAAACTATGACAATCATCCATTCAATGGGAATTTCAGGATCCTATATAAGGCCTTAATTTCAGGGAATATCACCACAATTCATATGGCCTGAAATATGGTACAGTACAGTACCTCCATCAATTGGATCCTGGAGATCTCCCATTGATTAGTTTACCAGAGGGTAAATCCCATTAATATCTCATTAAATCACTATAAATTCCATTAAATCACTATAAATTCCATGAAATCACTATAAATTCCTTGGCTTTGGACCATGATTTTCAAATCGCTTGGATAAGGCCTGGAGGTCCATGGTGTGTTGGATCCAGATGCCGTCAGGTCGGACTTTTCCCAATGGATGGGGGCCATGTTTTTTTTTTTTCGTTTGCCACGTCTGCTTAAGGTAAACGATGGGCTAAAGTTAGCCCAATTTAAGTGTGACTGGAAAAACATTGGGTATGTTTGCTGTCCCAATTTTTCTTGCTCAAGGTGTCAAGCCTTTTAAGTGAGATTTTATCTGAATGTTTGGTGGCAATTGTTCTTTGCTAAAATCCTATTCTCTGAAGCTCCTTCCTTGCATTGATCATGAAAATGCCCGCTTTTTTGTGGCAAAGTCCTACAGGAAGGGGCCCGAGACGATGGGTACGCTGGTTTTTTTGACTAGGCCGTTGGATTGCTAGTGGATGAATCTGTACTTAGGTGGGGTTACTTTTCTAACCCAACTTCGAAGTGGGTGGGCCCTGTGGTGTGTAAATCTTCTCCAATAAAGATCATCGTAACAACATCGAATAACTGGGTTGCAAGTATGGTTATCCAGCGATTTTGCATGTTTGGGTTGGGTTATATTCCTAAAGGTGGTTTAAATCCCAAACGACAAAACATAAGGCATGAACGGCTGTTTTTTTAACCATGATTGCAGCCCGCCTAGGCATGGGATTATTGAAACATAGGACCTGATGGATGGTGAATAGGATGGTTTATGGCGGGTTTACCTCATTACATCCAATAGCTGGGTTATAATTTCTAATAGTTTCTATAGTTATAACTGATGGTTACTGTTACTACGTAACATCTTGAGCCCAACATTTCGCAATAGTTAACATAACCATTATCTAACTGGTTATAACTGGGTTATAACTTCTAATAGTTATAGTTTGATGATTTTAGTTGTTATGATTATTATACAATCCCAGTAAGAAGAACCTCTTATATATATAATATCTAATATTATATCCATTATCATTACATTAACTTATCCATTCATATCCAATAACTAATAACTATACTTGGGCTCGTCTCGAGGAGCGCGATCACTGGTCTCGCCCAAGGCGATGGCAGGTGAGGCTTTGGCAGGCGGAGCTGGGGACTCACGGCGGGACCCAAGATGTTTCAGGGCGGGACACCATGAAAAATCCGTGAAAAAATGGGAACATCACCATTTTTGAACGGAATTTCCATGTAAAATCAACGTGTTCAATGGAAAACCACCAAGAGTTTAAAGGGATAATCCAACACTTTCAATGAATCTTCATAAATTGTTCGACGGAACATCACCCTATGAATGGATATAGAAGGGAGCTGATCAACAGACAGAGATGAACATTTCAGCCGTGGAAACGGCATTTTTTTGATTTTTTGGTGGTTCATCCTACTTGGGAAGGAATTGGACATGGCAACACAGCAACGCCGAAGCAATTTCTCCCAAAAGAATATCATCAATGGAGATAATCGACACATCATTTCAATTTCCCTGGCAACAACCGCTTTTCATGGACAGACTTGGGACTTCCGCTGGGCAAGAATACATTTATTTGACCACAGAAGTACCCTTCGAAGCAACCAGAAATCTATTTACATATATAATGGCTACAACAATTTACCGACATAATTGTGAATCTTTCAAAATGCGAAACCGCAACCATGAGTTTCAATGTTAATATACTCTACGACAGGCCATGCAGGCAGATACGTCGAGTTCGAAGCATATTTCCATAGTTGAGGGGTAACTAGGAGGTGGTTGGAATTAGAACTCCAAGAAATTTTTACTCAACTGACCCTTCAATGATTGGCTTGAAAGGAGCAATTAAGGGCAAATGCTGGGCCAATTGATCAGTTTCCGGCGAATTATCAGTCAATGATGCGCAAATACATAATCAGTTACAACTCCAATATAGTTACCCGATGACTCAATCAGCCCACATCATATTATGTTTAAAATCCCCAAGATTAGAATCTGGTAATACATGAATTACTAGCGGAATATTTCACACCGTAGCAACAGTTCAGAGCCAATCACGTGGCGATGGCCTTTGGAGAACGCGGCGATGGCCCGTCAGGTGCGGATCGAAAACATGACGGACGAGGCCATTTTGGTCTTCGGAAATTTCATCTTCGGCGGCACCAAGGAGTGGAGCACGGACTGCGTGGCCTGCTGTGAACGGAACCATGAGAAACGTAGGGAAAGAGTAGGAAAAACTGGGTGAATCTGTAGATGATGATGAGGATGACGACGACGACGACAACGACGACGACGACGACGACGACGAGGAGGACGAAAACGACGACGACGACGACGACGATGATGATGATGATGAGGACAACGACGACGACGATGAGGAGGAGGACGACGACGACGACGACGACGATGATGATGATGATGATGACGACGACTTTTGTTGCTTTTCTAGTTTTTTTCAGAAAGACCTGGCTATTTTTTGGAACTGTGAACACAAGGAGGGTCTCCATGATTAGCAGAGATACAGCTCTGAAGCATCGACACCGCCAAAATGACCCAGGTAACCTTTGGTAATCCTAGGTCAACCAACCCGATGGGTAGTTTAATCCTTTCACCTTTTGCAATTTCAATAGGAATATCTACTAACCAGCTAACTTTTCTTAATATTTTGCAGGGTATTTAAGAATCGTAATCCAACATGGTAAGTGGAAATCCAGCAGAAATGATCATAACTGCATAGAAATGCCATAAATATGGGTGCCATAAATATGGGCATTTGAACATCGGGTTTAATCATCGGTTACTGGTGGAGTTTCCAGCCATGTTTGACAAACATTACCCAATTGGACATTGGATGAGGTCAATGAAAAAACCCATTTGATTTGGATTGGGTGCACATTTTTTGATCACATTTGATCCCCTGGAAAACTAGAAATGAGGTCTTGGACATTGGGTGCACCATTTTTTAGAGAAATCGCCATCGGACATTTCTCTGGAGATCAGGGACGACAGGAACTAGCCTTTGTAGTAAATGTTGACGCCTTGGAATGACAAGGCGATGTTAAACTTCCAGGCTGAAACCTGAAGCTCATCTTTCATTTCTCAAAAAGTTGTTTTCAAAACTTCTCTTGAAAGTTTCTACATTTTTTTATCGAAAGAAGTTAAATCTTTTGAAAGTCAAACAGTTACAAAAGAAGTTGTTAAACAAAGTTTCCAATTTTAGGCTCCGTGAAAGCTTCATTTTAAGCTCCTGCCGGCCTTCTAAAAATACCCAGTTTCCCTAAGGTTTGGATGCGAAATCCTCATTTAAATCCTGATCAGCCGTGACTCCTGGGACCTTGGAAGCTACTGGCTTGCAAAGCTGGGTGATTTTTTGGGAATATTCTACTACCCTCAATGGTAGTTCAGCAATGAAAGGCATGCCCCAGTTAGTTAGATGATTTACCTGTATTTTCCTGTGAAAAATGGTGATTTTCCATAGCTATAGCAAATTACCAGAGGTGAACATCCCATTAAATCCTCATTTCTTGATGAGTAATGTTCACATGTTTTTTCGTTACCGGGGATTTCCAGGGTGTGGAATTTTTTTGAGGAGGAATTCTTGGTGAAGACTGGTGGCAAGGAGCCCTCCATCTGGGTGGCTGGCCGGGTCCTCGGCGATCCTCGGGGATCAGTTGGATCAGTTTCTTCGCTCCGAGGTCCATTGAGTCATGGCATCAGCTTTCGATACCCTGAAATCCACTACAAGATGGGGCCTCCAAGATAGTTCAGTTGCCTTATTCTTGTGGCTGACTTCCATGGTTTATGGTTTATGGTAACAAACTAGTTTTCATGGATGTGAATGGGGTTTATGAACCAACAAACATCACTGCGGGGGCACCATCCTGTCGTTTATCATCATGTTCCCTTAAGCAGAGGCTCTTAAAAGTTCGGAGAAAATCCATGTCCCCCATTTTCAGACACACCAAAAAAGGGTCCCATGAATGAAAAACATATTTATAAGTGCTACCACATAGATTATTTGGGATTTACCCTTTGGTTATTTAACATAGCCATGGAAAATCATCACTGTTTTAATCGGTGCACCATCTATTTCTATGGGTCATGGCTTCCATAGGCTATGATAGTCATAACCAGAGGGTATATTCCCATCATTATTATAGATTGTTTGGATTTATATGGGTATGGATCAATACCTATGAAAATACCATTTTTAGGGGGATGAACATCCATTTTAACCCAGCTATTTTGATGTGAACAGAAGGGGTACAGGGTTTTGACACACTGCCATATCCCATCATTATATCCCAATTCTGGTTGGTTTTTTCTCCTTATTTTCCTTGGCGAATCCCTTCTGTTCAAATCTTCCAGGTGATGAAGGTGTGATCCTTCGAACACCTGTGGTGCAGGATATTCCAGGCTTTTTGGCGGAATTTGAGGGGGGTCTGTGATGGGTATTTGCCACTGATGGCCCAGTTATACGTAGATTTTTAATGATTTTAAATGCATTTATACCATGTGATTCAATGGGATTTCGGCCCCTGGTAATGACTGTGACATAGCTATTGAACATGGCCATTTAGTTCGTTGATTTACCTACGAAAAAATGTGATTTTCCATAGCTATGTTACCTGAGGGTATTTACCAACACTGATGGGTATAGATATGCATGTATATACACGGCGTGTGTACATATATACATATATATATATTTATTTATTTATTTATTTCAAAGCAGTGACATGTCCAGGGATCTGCAGCAAGGGCGTGTGACCGAAAGCAACTCCGGCTCAGGGCAAAACGGGGGTTCAGCCATTGGGAGTCGCCGTCGTGTGGACTCAGGAGAGTCAGTGCGTGACCCCCAGTTAAACTGGTAGCGGAGCCGCCCAGGGTCGCTCGCACCAGAGGGGTGTTGCCGGGTTCCCGGTGGAACCTAGGGTGCAAAGCAATGACATGGCCACAGAGACCAAGGATGGTTGGCCAGTTCAAAAGGTTCAGTGGAGCCGATTTGGATGGCAAAGCCTATCGGCAGTGGAAACTATGGCACCTCGAGGAGAACCCTTCTGGTGAGATCTTCTCGGAGCAGGAGACGGTCGAGATCCTTGCTGCGTCGTGGAAAGACAAGAGGGCAGAAATATCATTTCTGGAGAAGAGCTGCAGATTCAACCAGGCGAACATCGTCAAAAAAAAGTTCGTTGTGGAAGTGGGCGATGTGAGGAAGCAGACTCGCTGCTTCAAGTGCCAGAAGGTGGGCCACTAGGCTCGAAATTGTCCAAACAAATCGACGTCCAAGGGAGATGACCGAGGCTCTGGAGCGTCTGGTTCCGACGACAGCTGAGCAGGGTCCGGTAGATCCGGTGTCTGAGGTACTTGTTGCCGCAGTGGAGTCACCATCCGACTCACAAGTCATTAGGGAAATCCGACCAATTGAGAAGTGTTGAGAATTCTCAAGAACGCAGGTGGATCCGAGCAAGCACTTCGGTTAGCCTCAGATTTCAAGTGTGACATTTGCTTTCATCGACAGAGGCCATCCCCATGTTTGCCAGCATCAGCACATCAGATAGTTGACTTCAACCACCGTATCGGGGCCGATGTGAAATTTGATAGAGTTGCTTTGCAAGCAGGGTTCACTGGTTCTAAACTGGATAACTGTTTGTATTTCTGCCATGGTAGTGACGGACAGCTTCAAGGTGTTCTTGGTGCGCACGCGGACGACACCATCACAGGAGGGCCTGGATCCAAATATGAATCTGCTGTTCGATTTTTGCGGGATAGATTCCCCTTCAGAAAATGGAGGACTGGACAGGGACAGTTTCTGGTAACCTTCTATCAACAAGGATAAATTGTTTACCACCAAAATGAGTATGCCGAACATATCCGTACAATCAGTGTTTCCAAAGAGTGTGTGCAGAAACTTTGGTTGCTAGCCACTGAAAAAGAGGTCTCAGCACTTAGAGCCATGAATGGGGCACTGGGTTGGATCTCGTCTCAGAGTCGACCAGACTTGGCAATACAAACCTCCATGTCGCAGCAGGCGTTTCCTAACCCGACAGTGCAGCATCTTCTTGCGGCCAATCAGGCTGTTCGTCGATGTACGCAACAGCGTGGTTTGCAGATGGGAGTGCCTTACATCCCACCCGATGAATTAGCTCTTTGTCTTTGGTCTGATGCAGCCTTCGCAAACACTGATGATTCCAAAACTCAGGGAGGTTGGTTGCTGAGTTTGACATTCAAACGTATGAGCCATGGTGAGGATGTTCCAGTGCACTGCATGAGCTGGAAGTCGTATAAGCTGCCCAGGGTAGTGGCCTCCACGGTGTCTGGCGAGGCACAAGCCTTTGCCACGGCATCCGGTATGGCAGAGTGGTCCCAACTTTTACTTGCTGAGTGTTTGGACGGTCCGTTCCGCTTGGAAGAATCTCTGGAGGTGTTGAAAAGGAGGTCCATGATTGGTATCACAGACTGCCGATCACTGTATGATCACTTGATTTCACTGGGTAGTGGAGGTACGTTGGATGATAAGAGAACTGCAATTGATGTAGCCATCATTCGCCAGAGAGTCATCCGAGCCAATCTGGAGCCCAGATGGTGTCCGACCGGACATATGCTGGCAGACGGGCTTACCAAAGACAAAGGGAGCCACTGGATTTGCTGAGATCAGTGATTCGATCTGCAAGATACCAATTGGCGGATGAAGGCACCGTCTTGGAGAGAGCAAGAGCTGGGAGCCCTTCGTCAGAGCAAAGGAGTAAGAATTCAGCAAATTAGTTTGCGAAGCCAGTCGTCAGTTGCCAATTAGTTTGTGAGAGTGCAGCCGACTGTGTGCAGTCTGAACATCAGTTTTGTCTTGCATGGTTTATAATCTTTTGGTTATTTCCTGGAGCGTGTTAATTGTCATCGGCACAGTGGGAGATTCACAGGGTGATTGCTGATAAAACAGTCTAGTCAGAATCTTGGTGCATAAGTGAAATATCTGCTCTAGCCTTGCTGCGCTGTCTGATCCGTGTGTTTCAATTTGATTTTGGATCTCTCGTCATGAGTCATCACTCCAAAGGCCAGGCACCTCTGTCTCATGAGGAAGCCAGGCTTTTGTGCGAGCTGCTGGACCGCATGGATGCCCAGGGTCGTGTCCCAGGTCATGAGGAGCTTCTTTTCACCGAAGGCATGATGAGGGCTATGGCCGACAGTAGCAAGCTTCTGAGGTCTGAGAACGAGGATGCAGGCTTCGAGGGCTATGAATGTGTGGGCACTCCTCGAGCTAAACAGTTCCATCTGGATGGTCCGACGGGATCTCAGGCTCCAGTGCCGCCCAATTCTAAGACTGGATTGAAGCTCCCTCCCGGAGTGACAGACCTGAAGGATTGGGGGACCACCATTTGCAAGCTACCCAAAGTCGCGTCCATGAAGCTGTCTTATGACGATATGGTGATGGACCAAGAATCACGGCAGCTACCTTCACTTGGTGTTGGCGCATGGAGCCAATCGTGGTGGTCGCTTGGAGGGTCTTCATTTGCATCTCATGGCCATTGACTGTGACCACTGGCCGCTGCTGCGGCGGAGACCTGGATACGAGACGATGCCACGGTCATCCCGTCAGTCCTGAAGAGAGTTGCTCACATCCTCACCACATGAACCCAGCTTCGAGTGATGCTGTGTTTCCTGGTACTCAGGAGGTTCGTGGGCGCAAGAGCCGTCCGAACTGAGGATGAGAGTGTTTTGCAATGTTTATGAACACAGCGGGAGAGCTGTGGGTTTGTTGTGGCTGCTTCCCCTTTCATTTTTTGATTTTGTAAAGGGAATTTCAAAGCAATGACATGTCCAGGGATCTACAGCAAGGCCGTGTGATTGAGGCAACTCCGGCTCAGGGCAAAACGGGGGTTCAGCCATTGGGAATCGCCGTCGTGTGGACTCAGGAGAGTCAGTGGGTGACCCCCAGTGAAATATAACAAAAATATAGAAACAACATGATTGTCATGGATTGGCATGTCTGATTTGTGAATAAGATGGGAGCTTGATATGGTTTGATGGGAATGTAGGTATAATGTGGATTAAACCAAGCACGATGGGTACCATTATGAATCCTATCAACCAACACTGCTCAAGTGTTGATGTTGGGTAGATGTCCCAGATTCACACTGGTTGGTTGATGAAAAAGGGAGGTTCTCCTTATGCAACAACTGGTACATGATAAGAAATAGAAAGAAATTGCGTGCGATAACAAATCGTATACTACCAGCCCGGCCCCTGTATTTTTATCAAAGGGACAATAGATATAGGGGTTTTCAAAAATGAGGGTACCCCAAATGGATGGTTTATAGTGGAAAATCATGTGAACATGGATTGTTTAGGGGTAGCCCCATTTTGGGAAACAAACATATTGGGTTGAGTAAAATTGGTTTTAAAATGCAGATTTACCAACTCTGACGGGCACGCCATCAGGTGATGGTGAAGACACCGAATGCGAATTTGATGTGGCCTTTGAATGGTCACTTGGGCCAACAAGAGACGACCGCTGGGGGAAGTGTCACCTGCAGGATGGTGCCCCCCAGTGATGTTTGTTGGTTTATAAACCCCATAACCTATAGTGTACAATAGTAATATCTACCACAAACCACAGTTAAACCACTTATAAGGCAACTTGGCTATCTTGGGGGCCCCATCCTGTAGAGAAATCGGGTGATGAAACCACCAGACATGCGGACATGTTGATGCAAGCAACCCCGGGGGAAACCATTCCTGTTGGAGTACTTGGAAGTGCAGTTTTAGTGAATTAAGTGGATAGAATTCACCATAGTTGCCATAGTTACAGAGGGTTATATCCCAACTTGTGGGGGTTTAGAACCATATTTATACCCTCAACCACAGTATGCAAAGCATTTTGGAGTCTGTCAAACATCGGGTCTGTCAAAACGCAGCAGTGTTGACCGTAGTTCAGTCTATCAAACTCTTTCCCGAGGCAGGGGAGTTATCTGGATTTGGAGCGGCAAACTTTGAGAGCCTTGGTTTGAACACATGGGTGCCTCAAGGGGCCCATCCATATGCACCAGTGAAGTCGCTGACAAATGACGCGAGTCAAGTCGCTGATGTATGAATTACCCTCTGGTTATTTAACATAACCATGGTATAGATGGCCCTAATCGAAATAGATGGTTGACCTATTGAAATGTTTTTTTTTTTCCATGGCGAACTGTTAGTCATAACCAGATGGTACAATGATTATAGATGGTTAACCCCGGATGAATAAACATTGATGGATTCAGCCAGTTGATTCCGGGCTTACGGGTGTACATCGTGATGGACGTCATCAACACATGTTGAAACTCATTTTTCCAGGTGTATAACATCTGGGTAAATTATAACGACCTCACTGCGACCTCACTGGAATCATGGTTAGTAAGGGAAATCATCCCCAAATGAGCCAAAAAAAAAGGGGGGTTAATTGACAGTAGTATTGTGCGATCCTTCGTTCAGAATTCCAGGCACCGCCGCAGCTATTTCGGATGTTTTTGGTAATTTTGGAATGTGCCATTTAGTTGGGGAACGACCCTTTGAACGACATCTAGAACGACATTGGAACGACCTTCTAATTATACGTATATAAGTTATATAAGTATATATTTACATATATTTATATACAGGTCTAGATGCATTTAGAACAAATCAGCAGCCAAATTACACCCGGAACCACCCTAAATGCATTTTTTGGGGCTGGCAAATTGCATCTGGCACGGTCTTTGTAATCTCTGCAACGAGACCCTAGCCTGAGCGGTTTCCCTCTAGAACCATGTCTTTACGAGCCCAGACTCTTCCCCGTGCTGTGCCACCAATGCACGTGTATTCAAGGGTCATTATTTAGCCATTTTTCTCGGCTCCCAAACGACCTCTGAACGACCTCTGAACGACCTCTGAACGACATCAGGATATCAGTCAGAATGATCAATTGCCCACAAAAACCCGGAGACCGCAGACCATTCATCCCATATGCGTTGCGTTCCAAGTCATTGACCTGATAGCAATTTGTTCCACAGATGGGTTAATTTTCCCAGCAACACTGTCAAACTTTTCTGCCATGTTGCAAAATGGCCCCGCCATGGGATTGTGAAAAAGATGCTGTTCCCTGAAAAAGAAACTGCTGAACGAAACTTTCTCTACGGATATGATGTAGCTGAAAGCAGCTCTGATGTAGATGCAACAAGCTCTAGTTCAAACAGTTCAGAATCAAGCGGCGAGACATAAGTATGAAGACCGCCGCTTGGAAATCACATGATTTGCTTTTGGGATAAGGATTTACATACCAGTTTTTTTTTCAGCTCAAATGGCCTTAATTCAGGTTAGTGAAATGTTATAATTTACCCAGATAAAATGATTATCACCAGCCCCAAGTCAAATTCTGCACTTGGCTTAGTCAATTTCTCCTTTTTTTAAGGCCCATCACCTTGTGGCTGGGCAGGATGATGTTTCCCACAGTTGTTTCATGTGGACTATGCACCAGTTACTAGCTTACCCCGCAATGGCTAAGACACTTGGACGGAATCATTATTTATAGTTGTGGATACAAAAAAAAACATGGATTAACTATAGTCACACTAAATCAATGATATAACTATGGATTAGCTATAGCTAAAAACATGGATCACTAGTTATATCCCCTAAATCAATCCATAGTCACACTTCTAGCTGCGATTCGCACAGATCAGGTGGTGAAGTTCACCATTGTGGTCGTTCAAAGCCCAATTTTTGGGATGGTTCAACCACCATTTTTGTTGGTGAAATTCACGATTTTATCCATTTTTGATGGTTCAACCACCATTTTTGGTGAAATCCCAGGGTTTTTGGTCCATTTTTGGAGAGGTCAGATCTCCACATCTCAGGACTGGAGATTTGGAACTGGGCTCGCTGGAGGATCAACAAATTCGATTGTTTCTGCGAGGCGCGTAGACTTTCGGAGACCGACCTCTTTTTTGGCCCGGGAAACTTGGGGATTTCAGCGTGAAACATGGCGATATAATCTAACCTGCAGATATAATGGGATATGATCTTAAAATCATCCATTCTGTTTTTAGGATATTTTCTAGGATCTAACGGTGTAAGAACTTGATCATCTTGATCTTTGGATTTATATATATATATATATCTGGTTGGTGGTTTGGAACCATGGAATTTTATGACTTTCCATATATTGGGAATGTCATCATCCCAACTGACGAGCATTTTTTTCAGAGGGGTAGGTCAACCACCAACCAGAAAACTATGGTTTCCATGGGTTGAAACATGACCAACAGAATGGAATATTTTTTCAGATTCCCCATTGAAACCCCTGCTATCATGGGATATGATCAATTCATCTGATGAATTTAGCGAAGTGTCTTGCGGCTTTTGGGGTTGCAAACTTTCCTGTAGGGCTGAGATGCGCTGTTTAAGGCCTTGAATTGTTGAATGCCGTGAGGGTTCCAAGTCACAAAAACGGGAGTCCTTTGGTTTCATGCCTCAAACGAAAACTGCGCTGCACTGATGTGGCATCATGTGGCATCCAGGAGCATAAACCATCTCACCAATCATTTCAATCTTGAAAAAAATCGTCCCAAGTGGAGGTGTACCCTCTGGTAAACTAACATAGCTATTGAAAATGGCCATTTATAGTGGATTTTCCCATTAAAAATGGTGATTTTCCATAGCTATGTTAAATTACCAGAGGATACCCAATTTTCATAGACTGTGGATGGTCTATGGTTTAGTGGATCCCCCTACTGTTTGCTTCTTGATGAAATTCATGATGTGGTTCCAGGCGTTGAAATTCAGGGCAGGGCATGGATTTAATTGTACTCTCATCTAACTATGATATACCCTCTAGTAATTTGAGAGAGCGAACTGGAAAATCACCATTTTTTTGTAGGTAAATCATCTATAAAAGGCAATTTTCTATGGCCATGTTAGTTTGCTGGAGGGTATCCACCATAAATCCTAGCTAGTCTCGTTATGCCAACTGAAACCTATGAATCTTGGGGGCCGCACTTTTCGAAGCCGCAGGAGCCATTGCTGAGTTTTGCCAAGGGCCCCGTCCAGAACGAAATGGAGTGTAACAAGGCACGGTGAAGGGGTGAAGCGCCAGGACCCAGTGGCCTAGGGATGTTTCATGTGGATAGGTGTATGAACTAGTATTAATGCATATTATAAGGATATACCACATGAGTAAGATACCCTCTGGTAAATTAAAACGGACCCTGAAAATAACTAATTTTTAATGGAAACTAATCTTCCAACCCCTATCTGCCAGGGTCTATGTTAATTTACCGGAGGGTAATATACATAAATATACATATATTATATATATATAATGCGGGATATACCATTAACTGTTATGATATACGAATCCACTGGGTTCATCAAGACAGGATGACTCTGGGGATAAGCCCATGACTATAGGGATTTCTTAGTGGATAAGAACTGATAAATGATGGTTAGTTGATGATTACAATATGCCCCCAACAACATGCAAAAAAAAGATCCAAGTCATAGCAAGGACTTTCCATGATTTATACTCTTAGATCCATGAAAGACCACCAGATGTTGGTCAAGACCAAGAAGCCACCAAAAATGGAACATACCCAAAATGGTAAATCAAGAGTTTGCGAACTGGAAAGTCACCATTTTAAGTTCGGGAAAGCAACGAACTAAATGGACCATGGCTTCCATAGCTAACTAACAAATTACCGGTAAACTGAGTTTTGGCCACCAAAAAGTGGTGAGTATTCTCTATTGAGGTTCGTGCCAAGAGCGTCATGTTCGATCCAGAAATTGCCAGTGAGTGAAACATCATGGCGCTTACCAAGCAAGGGGCCCCTCAGTTGCTGTATAAGTAGTTGGTTTTATAACACTCATTAACTATAGTTACAAGTGTCATAAACCATAAGTTATTGGAGTTATTTGCACCAACTGAGCTATGCTATCGTTTGGGGGCCCCACATTGTGCCAAGCAACATCCTGATTGAGTCTGGACCTCCAGATTTTCAAGATCAGTAGCATCCTTTCAAGTTCCGAAGCGACCTTACAAGGATCAAAGCAGAGAATGACTAAAAGCGACAAACAATGACTAAAATCACTAAAAGTTATCTTAGATACCCAGTAATCAAACATGGCTTGCTGGAAATTCCACCATTTAGTTCGATGATTTTCCCATCTTTGAACCTTCATAGAAAGTTCGGGGATTTCCCAGCCAGGGTCGATGACACCGGAGGGTATGTGATTCCATGAATCACCACTAATCACCATGAAATCATCACAAGTCACCATTAATCACCATGAAAGACCACATTCAATCACCATAAAAAACACCATTAAACCCAAGTAAATCCCATTAAATCACCATAATCCCATTAAATCACCAGTAATTTAGCATTAGTCACCATGAATTCACTGCTGAGAATGGCCGTGGCAGGTGGACAAGTTCGGCAAGAAACAGCCACGCGTGCAGGTGGCCTTCAAGTCCCTCGGGGCTCTGCCGACGGGGGGGAGTTGTTTTTTCGTCCGATGTAATCTGGGAATTAACGAACAGTTAGTAAGGATTAATGGATAATTGATATTTTGCTATATTATGGTTAGAAATGGTTAGTAAGGACTAATTTTTATTAATGGTTAGTAATGGATACCAACTATACTATGAGGGTTAATGGATAAATGGCGATTTAATGTTAGGAATTTAAGAACAATGAATCATGGTTCGTAATTAACTAGTGGTTATAATTATCATGATGATTATATCTGTAACGCTTATATAATGGATAATAACTACTGGTTATATAATGGGCAATGTAAGGTTGGGAATTTAACACAGTAGATAATAGTGATTTTTCATGATCTAGTAAGACTTTAACAACAATAAATGATGGTTAGTAATGATTATTAGTCATTATGACTATAGTCTGACTATTGGATAAATGGGTTTTTGACCATCCTCAACGGATTTTTGTACCGGGAAACCAGGCATGAAATATCTATGAATCTATGAGCTATCATGATAGTATCCGCTAAAAAAATCCTGGGGAAACCAGGCATTTTCATCATTTTTTTCATGTCACACGTCTACCAGTATCCATGTTTCTTTGCCTCAGGGTGAGCAGCCCATTTGCGGATTTGCTACATCTGCATTTTGAAGGATACATCAGGCTATATCTACAAAGCTTCACATTTGGGCACAGCCCGTCATGGGCACAACGCGTGTAGCTGCGCCACCGTTGCTGTCCTTGACCTTTCATCCTTTTTTTAACGACCTCCCATAGGGTTCAGTCAGGTTTTTCACCATTCGAAACATGTTGGAGTACCCAATCAACCCCATTGAAAGCCATCTCTCAGGTTGTTCTTCCAGGAAATCTATGACTTTGAACTGACCATGCCAGTTGGGCAACCTGGAGCCGGTTGGGCGCTCCCCCGGGCCCAGGGTTGCCTCCCAGCCGGGTATGGTTTAAGTTTAAAGTTGGATCCAATCCAAGCAGGATCAGGATTGTTTATGATTGTTTGGCCCAAGTTTTTTGAATGGTTGGTGTTTTTGAGGATTTTTCACTTTCCATATCTTTTCATTATGGTCAGTATGGTCAGTATGGTGATGGATGGCATCACCTGGGGGAAACCCACGGATCCCCAAAATCAACCAGGGTCAAGCTGTCATTACATTGGGGTAGTCCATTGCAAACTCATGAATCACTGGATTCCAAGATGGTGAAAAATCCCATAAAACCCCCATGAAAACTCCATGAAATGCCCATGAATTCACCAAGATTTTGGATGTTTTCTCCGCAACCAGCGGTCCAGAGTCCAGACTGGATGAGGTCTGGCGTGCCAGTACTGTGCCCACCTGCAAACGTCTTCTAGAGAGGCTGAGGCGTGAGGATCATCTCAGAGACTGAGGCAGCCAGTTTCAAGTGGCCATATCTACAGTAGGAATATCCCCACAATTCATATGGCCTGAAAAATGGTACTAACGTACCTCCATTTCAGGATCCTGAAATTCCCATTGACTAGACGAGTTTCTTTTTTGTTGATAAAATGTCTTGGATTTAGGGATATTTAGGGGGGTGGACGATTTAAGAGCTAAGAATGGGATCAAATGGGAGTATTTCACGAGAACTTGTTTTTTTTTTTTAACCAACAAGAAATGGGTATAAGATAAGACCAATCAGAATAAACAGCAGTGATTGTTGATAACCCTTCAGTGGGGTAGCCCAGGATACATGACTCCTTGATGGTCATGGCTGTCATGGCTGTGTTGGCGCCATGTTTAAATGGTACACTTAGGGCTACCACCCTTATTTTACGACTGGATGACACTATGCTATAGCCATACATAAGTACTATTATCCTTACTGTTATAAAAATATTGATTATTGTCAGTCAGCAGTATGATTGTGACCCGGTACATATGTTGCCATCAATTTGGGATGCTGTTTCAAACTGAGCCTGGCCAAACCAGACCCGCAATACTCAACCCGTAGAGGACTAGTGATTTCCAGTAACTACCATAGTTACGCGGAAAACCCACCATTTCTAAACCATTTTCCGCACGGGAAACCATTGGTTTTCCAGGTTTTTTTCAATGTTTACCCTAGATTACCCAATCCATTTGGTAATCTATGGAAACTGGCCCATTTACCCTCTGGTTATGTCAAAATAGCTATTGAACATGACCATAGAAATAGTGGATTTTCCCATTAATAGCATGGTGGTGTTCCATAGTTATGTAAACGTTTACCAGAGGGTATATACTTCGATGTTTTCTCATCAAACGTCCCATCGATGGAGGTTTCTTTAGCCATGAAACTGGAGAAACAGGGAATGATTTCATTTTTTTTTGGTGACTTTTTGTGGCTTACCCTGTGGTAATTTTGTTGTTTGCGAACTGGTGATTTAAACATGGTAAATCATCATAAATCATTGAACTCAATGGGCCATGGCTTGCAAAGAATTAGATAACCAGAGGCTATGAACCAAATGAAGCTACTTCCGGCCAGGGACGGCATTGAAGATGAGGACGAAGAGCTCACTGGAGTGCCTTGCCTTGGAAATCCATGGGGAACGTGGCTGCTTAGCTTGCTTGGTCCATGACCAACGTCCGGTCACCAGCTGTGTGGCGGAGCGCTCGGGGCGTTGGGAAATCTCCGAAGTGGCCATGGGTCTCATGGGAAAACCCATGGTTTTTTAATGGGGGATTTTCCAGCGGAGCTGATTGATCAATGGATAAGACGCGAGGGGAAAGCCCTGGGGAAACGATCTAGAAATTCTGGAATTTGATGTATCTACATTGGTTATGACTAACAGTTTGCCATGGTATAGATGGCCCTAATCGAAATAGATGGTTTACCTAGCTATAAAATGGTGATTTTCCATGGCAAACTGTTAGTCATAACCAGATGGTATCTACATTGGTTTATGGGAAAGCCAAAAACTTACTGGTGCTTACTTAGCAGGGAATTTTCGGGAATGATCCCAGTCATCACTAGTAATTTCATCATCCCAGCAACCCCCAGCAACCCATCCATTCCCTACGTAAAAACGCAGCAGTAAGAGAAATACAGCAACACAATTTACAATTATTTTAGTCACGTGTCTACCTCAACTTGGGGGTCGCTTTCTTTTGGGGATTTGAGCATTCATTGGGCCTTTTTACTTTCTTGCGATCTCTCCCACGCCCAGTAGGTTCATATTGATTTTCCTTAGGTTTTCCTTATGGTTTTTCCTTATGGTTTTTCCTTGTGGTTTTTCCTTATGGTTTTTCCTATGGTTTTCCTTATGGTTTTTGCCTATGGTTTTCCTCATAGTTTTCCTTATGGTTTGTTGCTTAAACCCCCATGAAACACCGCACGTGTTCTGCTGTACGTAAGGATGGACGAAGTACCAGAGCGCGCACGACTCGGCAGACGGGCGCCAAGGAACAGGCCTTGCAACGAGTAGCTTGGCGTTCCAAATTAGAGAATCATAATCCACACGAAACTCTTTGGCAAGCAAACTCTTTTTCTTTAAACGCACATATATTTATTTATCGATGTATATATATATATATGTATGTACATATTTATTTGTCTCAGAGATGTACATATACATAGAGCCATCTTTCTCAAGTCCCAAAGAGGACTGCACCCAGACCGCCTGCCATGGAGAAACCGGGCACCCCGGGGACAGCAGAAGTGCAGCTTGTTGCACCCAGTGGTCTCCTGCAGACCTTGCAGCTTCGGATTGATGCCCCGGCAGCGGAGACGATCAGGACGTCCTTGAAGGAAATGGGCAAAGAGGCGAAAGGTGCCGGGTTTTTCCATGGTTTTTTCCAGCCGTGTTTTGGGCACTAAACGTGGGGTGCGGTGGGCACCACGTTTCGTAAATGGATGAGTTATACCCAGGTAGATTCATGGGTTATATCCTCCATGATATGGGATGAAGTATGGGTTATGTATGGATTACAAACTATGGATCCGATTCGTGGGCCACATCCAAGTAGGCTAAACTCACAGAGATGCGGTTTTGAGCATCCACAGTGTGGCAAACCCAATTTCATAAACCATTCCCAAGTCATCACCAGTCATGGGTGCGCTTCTTTACCATCCCCAGTCATGGTACTTGGACGCTTCCCCATTGGCGCTATTTTCAGGTGTCTTCGTCTTTACCCTCGGAACATCGATACTGGAAGAGGATTGGCCACTCGAAAAGTTTCTTGGATTAGCCTCTGGTAAACATACAAATATGGAAAATCACCATGCTATGTTCATGGGTAAATCCACTATTTCTAATGACTGGGCCATGGCTTCAATAGCTATTTTGACATAACCAGAGGGTAGCTGAGTCGATTTAAGTTATTTTCCAGTGAATTCCATGGTGCATCGATTTTTTGATTTTTTGTGGATGAGCCCCTTGGAGGATCATCGAAACAGATTGTTGATGTTGTTAAAATTTAGGTCCCCAGAAAAATGTGGAAAAAATCGTTTAGAACTATAATAACAAGTTGGTGTATGATACGCAAATAACTATATTTAGATGGGTTTATAAACCAACATTCACATCACTGGGTTTTCCCCATCCTGTACTTTTTACCATGGTTTCGTGGCCAGGGAAGGGATCGCTGGGATCAGGATTTCTGGGATCCGCTAGGCGAAAAGACATCCCCAATGTTTGGCGTCGAACTTAGCTATCATGAATCAGCAATCCCATGATCTTTTCAAAACATCTTTGTTGCTCAAACCACCATTTTTCCTAGGGTTTTTCTAGGGTTTCGACATTTTTTTGGGGGGTCACTCCCATGAAATCCCTCGTTTCCTATGGCTTTTCCAGGTTTGGAGTCTCTGAGGGCTCCAGCATCGAAGTGACGGTGCTGGATTCCTCGAGGCCCTGTTTTGAATGGTACTGCCACCTGGAGTGAAAGGTGACGAGCTGGGGATACCCTCTGGTAATTTAACGTAGCGATTGAACATGGTCCATTTATAGTTGATTTACCTATTAAAAATGGTGATTTTCCAGTTCGTTATTTGTATGTTTACCAGAGGGTATTCTTGCTGTAATTTTTTTTTTGGGGGGAATCCATGGGGAAAGCATTGGACTTTTTTTAGACATCAGTTGGGATATCCCCTGTAAGATTTTTTTTTTGGGAAATCATGGGAGAATATGGAAAAACACCTGGAACATGGAGGTTTCAGTGGGAAAATCATCGAAGAAATGGAGAATTCCAGTAGGAAAAAATGCTAGCCTACTACCCTAACATTCCTAACATCGAAGTAGTTGGTAAAGTGGCCTTGCCCTGAAAAATGACAAGTTTTGATCCATCCCCATTTGGATCACTGGAAAGTCCACTGAAGATGGACCTAGACATCCAAGGCTGTGACCCATCGAATGGCAATGCGATTTTGGACAAAGGCTCCACCTTCCAGCGTTGTGACAAGGCGGCCCACACAGATGGAGTGCAAACCCGCGCAGCATTGCCCCGTGAGACTGCGTGTTACATTTGCTTCCACCATGTTGGAACCCATGCTTCTTGGATTTCTCGAAAATCGAAGATGGGGGGTATTTTTTTTTTTTACCCCTCCGGCAATTCCCCAGCTCTTCTTCAATGATTTTCCCGGCGAAATAAAGCTCCATGCCTACGGCACGGGAATTTCCCAGCGGCCCCACTTTTTTTTGGACCCAGGAGGGTAACCATTAAAAAGTGTATCATGAAAAACAAATCTACCCTCTGGTAATTTAACGTAGCTATGGAAAATCACCATTTTTGATGGGAAAACTCACTATAAATGGCCATTTTCAATAGCTATGTTAGTTTACCAGAGGGTAAGTGATGCTAAGACATCCATTTTCATCAACAAATCTAGGGATCAACAGCAAAATGCTGGTGCACCAAGTGGATGACTTGTCGATTTTCTGAGTCGGTGTTTCTATTGTGCAATTGCTGAATCCGCCAGGACTGGGGAATCTACTTCGAATATTTAATAATATGTTCGGGTTACAGACACATCCTGTGAGTTTCAAACATGACAAATACTGTTTTTTTTTTCCCATTGTATTATCTATTTTTTCATATGTGTTTCGTTTTTTTGGCATACCTTTTGCATATTTTTACATATGTTTTCCTCATTTTCTCAAGGGCTTTCCCACATTTTCGCTTTTCCAGATCTTTTAGCCCCATGTCGGAATTCATTTCTGTCGGATTTTTTTCTTTGAACTCAATATACTCAATCCTATTTTTTGCGTGATTCCCAATACGTGCCTGGGTATGGCAAATCCCAGGCTTGTCTGGGAGTCGGCACCAACAAGTGCAAACTGGCTGAGACTTCCTATGTACACCTCTATGGTCAGGATGAGAACTCCTGGACGTTGTGATTTAATGGTGAATAATGGGATATTAATGGATTTTACCCTCTGGTAATGACTGTTACAGTTTGTTATTGAAAATGGCACCTATAGAAATCGTTGATTTACCGAACGAAAGGATGGTGATTTTCTACAGCAAACTGTTAGTTTTACCAGGCCGGGTATATGATGAGTTTTACCCCCACGTCATGGGAGCTTCAATCGGCAACCGGTGTCATCAAACATGCTGGAAAATCCACCGTTCAATAACCGATGATTCTCCAAACTAATCCTCTGGTAAACGTTTACATGACGAACTGGAAAATTACCATTTTCAATGGGTAAATCCACTATAAATCACCATTTTCAATAGATATGTAACAAATTACCAGAGGGTAATCCTCCATTTGTGGCGAATTTCCAGTGACTACCGGAGGGTAGTTACTGTATCATTGCTGAACATCCTCTCGTCAGCGGATATACTTTAGCCATTAGCATCTGTTCTTTACTGCCACCCCATTGTTGTGAGATGTAGCCATGAAAAATCCCCATTGAATGGGTTGGATGAAACGAATATTTACAGGAAACACCATTTGTTTATTAAACCCATCTTGCCAAGAAACATTGGGTTTCATGCACAAACAAATCCCTCAAACCATCAGTAAAATCCCAAGATATACCCTATGGTTATTTAACATAGCCATGGAAAATTGCCCATCTATAGATGGTTTACCTATTAAAAATGGTGATTTTCCATGGCTACGTTAAATAGCCAGAGGGTAAATCCCATGATGTCCAGTCCCCACATGCTGCCAGTTGTTTCTGCGTATGTTTGATGGAAGCCATTAGCCTCGGCTCCTCCAAGCTCCTGTGGAAAATCCCCTTACGAAATGGCGGTCTTTTATCGGAAAATCCTCTGGAAATGGGAAATTGCTCATTGCCATGTTTGAATCCCATAGAGTATATCATATACATATATGTATGTGAGTTTTGTAACTTGCTGCTGCCGCATACACCTTCGATTGTTTCCTGTCAGGGGAAAGCACATTCATCATGTGCCTTTTGACTCGTGGCTCAAGGCCAATTTCAGCGAGATAGGGGAAAAATCTCGAGTGCCGCCATAGGATTGGTTGGAAGGTGAAGAGTGGACTCTTTTGGGATTTGGTTGGATAGATATACATTTTTGGTGTTGTGGACAACACTGTTGGAACGACTTTACTTTGGTTGAACATCAACTACTTTCTGGTGATCAAGGAGGACCTTGAACCATTCAGGTGGGAACTGTTATCAGTGGAGTTGTGATCTACGATCCAACGACACTGGTAGCGGAGCCGAGAGGCTCGTGCTACTTGCACGCAAAGCCGGCCCGCTAGTTTGGTGGCTTCTGGATAGTGAGCAATGCCTCCTAAAGAGTCTGCCTCAACTGATGGGAACGGTGACTCCCAGCAGGGTTCCAATTTTTGGAATTTGCTGCCCAGTTTTGACCCGAGTGAAGATGACATACGAGAGTTTTCACAGAAAGCCAGGTTCATCCACGGTGTCATGCCCGAGAAGGACAAGCCCAACTTAGCTCCCAGGTTAGCTATGTTGTGTAAAGGGACAGCTTGGTCCCAGGTGCGTCAGTTAGATCCGAAGAAGCTCACCAAGGCCGACTCAGGTGTTGAATACTTGTTGGCCGCTTTGTCAGCTTGGGAAGAAACATCAGAGATGAAAACGTATGAATTGTTTGAACGAGCACTCTACAAGGTAGTACAGAAGTCTGATGAGGCCTCCCATAGTTTCTCACTTCGCCTTCAAGCTGCATTCAATGAGATAGGTGATGATGTCACTGTCAAACAAATGCAAGCCTTCGTGATGTTGAGACAGTCAGGTTTGTCGTCCGAAGACAAAAAGAAAATCCTGACGATGACAGGTGGTAAGCTGGATCTGACCACAGTTGACCAAGCCATGAGGTCGTTGTCCACACGTGTGTTGATGGGTCCTGGTGAAGCCAAGAAAAAGATTTACCCGATCAATTTCTCAGAGGTGGAAGACCCACCTACCCAATCCGATGAAAGCCTTCCGGTTCAAAGCACTTACGTTGCATACCATGAGGAAGAGGATGTTTTGACAACCGAGCATCTGGAATACCTAGTGTCTCAGGGAGATGAGGATGCCAACGTAGTGCAACAGTTTGAGCGTGATTTCGAAGAGATGCTGCAAGAGATTCCTGACATGCAACAAGCGATGGTCTCATACAATGAGGCTAGGCAGAGGATCAATGATCGCCGTCGCAGCCGAGGGTTTTGGCCCACTGGAAAAGGAAAAGGGAAAGGTGGGTTCAAAGATGGCTCCCGGCCATACCGCAAAGGTGTTGGAAAGTCTGGAAAAGAAGAGTTGTTGGCTCGCATTGCAAAAACGCATTGCAAGCTCTGCGGCGCCCTTGGTCATTGGCGCGCAGAATGCCCTCAGAGGAAAGAAGCCCGTGAAACTGCCAACGTTGCCTTCTCCATGCCTTCCGAAGCATCCGATGCCG